GATGACATTTCCAGCAACCGGCAACTGTGTCGATGATGTGCTTCTCCTTACTCAAACAAACAAATAAATTAGCTGTCAAAACCTGCCCTCCCCCCTCCCCTCCAACACCTCTTCACCCCCTCACCCCTTGGTCCCGACAGCTGCATAAAGTCACGTGGTGGACACGTCACGACTCGGAAGACCCGGTCGAGTCGGACTCGGAAGATGACTTCGGTATAGATGAAGAAGCCGGTAGCTTGCCAGGTATGTTATGCGTTAGACTTTCTGATGAGATAATTAGAGGTACTGGCTGCTCGTTTGTCCTTTCTCTCAATATCTGTACATTTTTGTAGTTGTTGTTTTTGTTGATGTTGATGTTGTTGTTGTTGTTGTTGTTGTTGTTGTTGTTGTTGTTGTTGTTGTTGGGGGTGGTGCTGCTTGTCTTTTTTGTTGTTGTTGTTGTTGTTGTTCTTGTTTTTTGGTGGTGCATTTTTTCTTTGTTACAGCATTATTGTCGTTGTTATTATTGTCGTTCTCATTCCATTATCAAGTACTCTTGGCTTGTTGTTGTTGTTGTTGTTGTTGTTGTTGTTGTTGTTGTTGTTGTTGTTGTTGTTGCTAATCTAGTTCGTAGTCGTTGCTGTTTTTTCGCTTGGTTTGGTTTTAGATGTCATGTGCACTTACATTTTTTGACTTTATTATTACATTGTATATTTAACCGTTGATTAATTGGGCTCTTCTTCTGCAAGCCTCTATCGCTGCACTACTGCTGGGACTCGCACTGTCGCTTCTATTTTGTCGTTGTAGCTGCCTATGGCGTGTAGGTTAGATTAATTTTCTATAATTCTTCATGTTCATTTTTTATGTTCATATGAGTATATAATGACCAAAACAAATGAAGAATGTGTTTCAGGGTACCATGCAATTTACTTGCCAGATATACATCTGGCATAATTAAATCTAAACCACCCCTACATTAATTCCAAACGCTCTTCTTTTTTTTTTTCAAATCAAATCAGAAAAGAAGACGAAGATGGCGAGCCGCAACTTCTGTGTCCGCGCCTTCTATTCCTGGCTGTGTGGGGTGAGCTTCAAGTCCAGACCTCGGCTCACGCCGCAGCAGAAGGCTCTCGTCAAACGGAAGATGACGGACATCCGGGAGGAGCCGGGCATGCGCAGAGTGACGGCTGTGGCGGCCATCATTATTTCTGTCTTTACTACCTTTCTTTTAGGGTTCTTCTATTAAAAAGGTGCATAGCTAGGTGGGATTGTATTTAAGTTGGACTCTAAAGTAAAAAGATTTTCTTTGGAGTTTGTAACACGAGGTAATTCGCTCCCAGGTGCTGAAGTAGCGTACTTCTCATAGAGAGATGCGAGTAGGCTACTGAGGTTTGAATGTATCTACCATGAAATACTTGTGCCGTGTTGTTAAAACGCTGATTGACATGGTTTTAAAAGTTAGGTTGGGGGGGTGGGGGGTATATAATAATCTCAAAGGCGATGCAAAAAGCGTTGCATTTTAATGGTGACAAGGGTGACAACTTTTATTCCATGGATGCAATTATTACAGGTACTACAAGGAGAAAGAAATCGGAACCTCCGTTGAAATTGTGCCTAGGTATTTGGTGAAGGAAATACGGTGTCGATAGCAATGGAAATATAACTTTGGCAAATAGTCCACCAAGCTAAAGACATACGCTTGAGGGCTTTAAATTTGAAAGTGCTGCAAAATACCAACGTTATTAATATCCTACTGTTCACAATGAAATTAACGGAAATCTCAAAATTACTATCTCTGTGATGAGGCTTACTTTTTCGAACAGTTTTGTAAATAACTTACGGTAAAAAGTTCCAGCCAGAAACAGGAAAAAAAACACCTTACATACCCAACCAGGTGCGTCAGTTGGAATAAATTATGAGAAAATGGTTTTAATTGAGGGCGGTGAAAGGAATAGAACAGACATAGATATACATGGATATGAAAATAACGAATGCAGCTAAAACAACTGGAACCTGAACTGTTTCTAAACATAAATTATAATGCAAAGCTGGGAATATCATAGAAATATATGAGAGAGAAAATGGTTTTGGGCAATTGTGAAGCAAGAAAATAACGAATACAGCTAAAAACAATCGGGAAATTAATTAGGTCTAAATATAAGTATGGAAAAGCAAGAAATATAATAGAAATACATGAGAGTGAAAGTGGGTTCTGGCATTAGTGAAGCACGACCTCAAGCAAGGGCCCCAGGCTCCATCTCGTGCTACTTCAGCTTCAATTCAGCTTGAGAGAAAGGTTAAGTGGAAGAGTGTGACACATCATTTCTTCAGCTGTGAGGTAGAATGAACTTACGGATACTGGGGTTTTTTGTATTTAATTTATGTGATTTATTCTTGAAATGTATCAGTATTTCATGTTTAGCATCTTTTTGCGGGGATTTTCCCGCGTGGTAAGTCGTGTCAGTTTACTGTTTGAAGTTGCCTACTTTACAATCAAATGTGTTTTTATTCGTTTGTTTCAATTTTCAGAGATGCTGTTAGCCAGAATTAATGGTGCCATTCGCAATGGTGCGTCATCACATGGAGTAGAATAGGGTTGTTACTGATATTACAATGTTTTCAGCTCTCAGTGGGTGGTTGGTGGGTGCTCTGATGTTGTTTGCTTCTTCTTTTCTATAAAAAAATATATCGTCCTTATCTCTCCTCCTTCTTTTTTATGTTTGTTACTCTCTTGTAACACCTCTAATCTTAGGCACTTATATGACCTTATGCAGTTGCGAGCGCCGTAAAACCTCAACTAAAACTAAAAATTCAGTGTTAAGTGTCGTGTACCCCTTTTCATTTAAATGTGGTTTCTACAATGTGTTAAGACTTTTAAAGAAGAAAGGTTTGTAACGCCCATAATGCCTGAATTGTTGCTAGACGCTGTACAATTTCTGGTCCACCACTGCTACATAATGTACATTTATTGACTTGTTTAGTATTGTTGATGAGGTTACTGCTGTTGTTACAAGAAGAGACGTGTTTGTAACTCTATGCTCGAAGAGGCATGTTTTTTTCTGGATTTTTACAAGTTTTGATGATCATAGAAGAGCTTTGAGATTCTTGGCGAGCTTCAGACAACGATAACTTATAAGCACATAATTTGTTACGCAGTTTTATACACAACGAATATAAGACGATTATCAAACATTATCTTTTTTTCTGAACACAATCGTATTGACAATCGACATTATTACAAAAGATACTAACCGCATTGTTCCTCCTCACTTTATTGAAGTTCTGATAGGATAAAAGTACGGAAACAAAAACTAAACCATGTCATCACTCAGAAGCGGCTCCAGTGTGATATTTTGGCATACTTTTATTATGTGTTAAGGGCCCTGAAGACGACGTATTTCTAATTTTGGAGACACAGTGCGAGAAGCTGAGAATGAGAGTTGTGTCCTTCCCCCCTCTGATCCGCCTGAGGGCACCTATTGTATGTACCGAACAAAGAAATAAACTAACACCAAGAATAATTAAATCCTCTGCAAAGTTCTCAAAATCTAAGTCATCATTATCATCATCATCATCATCATCATCATCATCATCATCATCATCATCATCATCATCAATCATCAATCATCATCATCATCATCATGACGTGGTAAGTCCAAACAATGTTCCTGTTTCCTATTTGTTGGTGTGTATGTGTGTGTGTGTGTGTTGTTGTTGTTGTTGATGTTGTTATTGTTGTTATTGTTGTTGTTATTGTTGTTTTTGGTGGTGGTGGTGGTGGTGTTGTCGTTTTGTTTTTCTTTTCCTGAAACATACCATGTACACCTTATACTATACATACCATGTACTACCATGTTGTCACATTGTACATGTAACCTACAAATATCCAGCACCAACTAAACACACGTGACCCAAATATACCCCATATCTTTGTCACATTTTGAAAGGTTGAAAACAACCAATACTGTGTTCTTCTTGGCGTGTGGTCTACTATCGAGTCTCTTTTCATTTAAGAAAAAAACATGACAACCATTTTCTCCTTTTCTTTCAAAATAGAAAATAAGGGATAACAATGAAATACTCCTTCTATATATCTTTGAAGTCTCGCCAATATCTTTTCCGTCCTCAAACATCATGCAAACTTTTCAAATGGATGGTTGGCTGACAATAATTCTGTGTGATTTGCTTCTTCTTTCAAATTAAACTATGTACGTACAGTCCTCATCCTCTCCTCCTTCTTCTCTTTGTAGGTTACTCTAAAGTTACTCTAAAATAACATTTCTAACCATCGGCACCTAAATGGCCGTGTTTGTGTTGTAAGTTTTGAAGATTAAATACAACATTCCGAAGAATGGAATTCGAAAAAGTCACATACTACCCCCCGGGGCAGTGCCACTGACTGTAGTATCTTTAGGCCATTCCCAAAAAGGGATTGGGGGGGGGGGCGGCATTTCTCGTTCAAGCACAGTAGACTTGTAAATGGGCTGATTCATGTCACGCTCATAACTGTGCCTGATCTACAACAGGGAACTGCTGCTTTTTCTTTCTCGATCCTTACTATTGTCATTTTCCTCTACTTCTTTAGTATGTTTGTCACTCTCTTGTGAACTTCTATTTCCGGGGTGCCTTGACCTTGTGCTGTTGAAGCTAGAGAGGTCAGCAGTCTAAGTCTGATTCCCTGTAAAGACTTCTCTGTTGACACCCACCCATTGGAGCTCATATGACCTTATGCAGTTGCGAGCGCCGTAAAACCCTCTACTATAAAAAAAAATCACATACTTGAAGGAAGGGATTCGAAGAAAGGAAAAATAAAATGCTGGTGGTTGGAGGGTGTCCCTGGTAGGTCCCATTTCTTTTTTTCCCCTCTGCTGTTTTTGTTTGACTGTAGAGCTTCTTCATTGGAAAAAGTTATCGTTGTTATTCCGCTGTGCTTCTCTTTACTCAAATCTGCACTCAAGATGAATGCAATAAATGTACACTCGAACGGAACGAACTTATTGATAGATGAAAAAACCCTGCGAGAATGAAGAATAACCTTCCCCCCCCCCTTCCCCCCCCCCCCCACCCCTTTTTTTCCTTTAAAAAAAGAGAACAGAGTGATGTACGAAATCAACGTATTGGCCATAATGAGAGAGGAAAAAGCTGCTAGGACGTCCAATTTTGTTCGTGTTTGATACCCTCCTTTACACATTGAAAGGACGATCCACATACAGCTTTGCTGGTATAGAAGAGAATTAAATGTCCCCTGAGAGAAAGTTCGCACCTTGGACATTCAAACATTCACCGAGTTGATAAAGACAAAGTGCCATGGAGATCGGGGAAGTTAGATGTGTGTGTGTTTGGGTGTTTGGGTGTGTGTATATGCGTGTGTGTTTGTGTGCGCAACTGTGTGTGTGAGTATCTATGTGAGTATATGTGTGTATGTGTGTATAATAGTGTGTGCATAATATGTGAGTGTGTGTGTGTGTGTGTGTGTGTGTGTGTGTGTGTGTGTGTGTGTGTGTGTGTGTGTGTTTGTATTTCTGTTGTTGTTTTTTTGGGGGGCGTGGCATTTTTCGAAACGATAGCATCGTGCTGGTAGTAATGGTTACAGCTTTTGAAAACCACGTCATCTGAGGTAAACGTTCTCATTGTAGTGGCTATGGTTGCTTGCCATGTTCTTAGAGTATTTGTGAGGCAGCGGGGTGGAATCAGGCTCTCGTCAAAATGATCAAAGTGAAGAAACTTGCATTTTCCCCACAGGTTTGTGAATTTTTATCAATTTTTTGTTTTTTGGCTCAACACCTTTCATGTCCATCAAAGAACTCATTCTGTGTGGATTTTTCTGAAAAGTGTTGATTAAAGGCACAAAAATGTAAATTTTCAGTTACCACGGACTCTTAAGCTCAGGAAATAACTAATCTTTGGTGGATATTTTCTCACTAATTTAACCTCTGAAAACAAGCGACCCCCACCTCATTATATCGCAAATATCTCGACCTGTATTCAAGATAAATGGATATTTTTTCATCCAAATAAGGACAAGTAAACAAGCTTTAAGATGATACCAATAACTCTACATGCCCAAATATTGACGAGAGCCTGATTCCACCACGCTGCCTCACATTTGCATGTTTGCTGAGTTCGTGGAGTGAGCAGACACTGGCCTAACATTCTCTTATATTTCCACATTAATTAACATAAGAACGACACGGATCAAATAAAGTACTTAGACCACAGTAGGCTTGGGCAGAATTGAAAAAAATAGGATTTTCAAGTCTCAAGTCCAAGTCCTGCCCAGGCCTAGACCACAGTTAAGTAGACCTCAGCATCTGCAAACAACGCTTCTCCGTTGCATTATTTTATCTAAGAAAAAAAGACAATCAGGAGTCAATTTTTTAAATAATACGGGTTTATTTTTAACTTTGTATTCATTTTTAAAAAGTATTAAAACAAAGACACGTATGTTACACTTTGCATTGTTAGCATATCGAAGACATTCGTCCTTTACCACTTTGGGTTCAATTTTGAAATAAATAAAAGTACATGGGACAATCATTTCCTTCACTCACATTATCGATGCACGCAAAGCCTGTTTTATGAAAACAGGGTAGTATAATTAGAAAAATTAAACAACAAAAACAGAAGAAAGTAAAACTGATTGACTAGGAATCCTTCGCATCATACACACCAATGAGAGGTTTTTTTAAAGCATATTATGTGCTAATACAGACACAGAGGGGCGACGAGACAGTGTGGGATTTTTGGTAAGTTCTGTTTTTGTGTACATGAGTGTGTGTGTGTACGTGTGTGTGTGAGTGTGAGAATGTGTGAGTGTTTGTTTTTAAAAGAGAAAAGCGATATGAAAGAAATAGTAAGCAAGCGAATGATTATAGACATTCGAACCAGCAAGAGAGAGGGGTGAGGAGAGGAGGTGGGATACAGCCAGACCAGGGAGAATGAGAAAACTGAGAGAAAGAGGGAGAGTGGGGAGATGGGGGGAGAGAGAGAGAGAGAGAGAGGGGGGGATAAAAATAGAGAGAGTGTCAACGGCAAATGTAGAAGCGTCAGTTCCATGAAACAGTCGTGGGCTGGGATGTCTGAATTATAATAGATCTAGAAGTATCTAGTCTTCATCATCCTCTTCCTCCATGACCAGTCTGCATCCATCAACCTCAGCATCCGCAGAACACAGCAGATGATAGACCTCGCTGTGGAAGAGAGGGTGGGTGTGTTAGGTTAGGCTCTCGATCAGACTTGCATCCATTCCCAAATCGGGGATATAAACATTTTCGTATGCACAGTAGAATTGTAACTTGGCTAATTTATCAATGTCAGGCTCATATTGTGCCAGAACAACAGATGGGGAACTGCTGTTTTTTCTTTCCTCATTCTTCCTGTCGTCATTTTTCCTCTACGTACTTCTTTCGTATGTTTGTCACTCTCTTGTGATCGGCTATTTCCGGGGGCTCTTGATATTCGAAGCAGACTTTGTGCTGTTGAGGCTAGAGACGTGAGCAGAGTAAATCTTGATTCCCCGTTTGGACTTCTCTGTGGACATCCACCCCTTGGCGCTCATATAATAATAATATGCTGTTGCGAGCGCCTTAAAACCTTACTAAAACAAAACAACAAGACTCGCTACTGTAAGGTCGTCGGCTCGAATCCCGTAGTCAGGGGGCCAGACGTTGTGTCCTTGGGAAAGGCACCTCTCATGAATCTTCCTCACATCACCAAGGTGGGAATGGATACCCAGCTATAGACAGTGAAAAGATCTTGCTTGTATGATAGTGTTTTAGCGCCTATAAAACGGCAGCTTGCACTGTATGCTTCGCAGGGAGTTGGGGTTGCTTCAGATCGTTTTCATGTCTGCTGGGGTAATAAATATAGATTGTAAAGCGTATAGAACTTGCTGTTGAGCTATAGACAGTGAAAGATCTTGTCAGTTTGTTAGTGTTTGAGCGCTTATCCAGCTGCTTGCGCTGTATGCTTCCCTGAAAGCTGAGAATATTTCTGAACGTTCTATGGTCTGCTGGGGTAATAATACAGTGTTTAGCACATAGGGCTTGCTATCGAGCTTCGATTTCAAAACAATTAACTTGACAGAGCGAAATGAGGGGGTCAAAAGACTACACCCCTCCCCCCCTCCCCCCACACCCAAAAAAACCCATATTTTTCAAGACTTTTAATATAGTTAATATTTCCAGTTTCCTGTTTCCTGTTTGCTGCTATTATTTCGCCCATTGCATCTACACAGACGTTTAATTGACTTGGATATTTCGATGTTCTCTTTTTTTTTCTTTCTTATAAATTCACACTTATTATGTGAAATCGTAGTGGGCACTGTAATGTAGGTACACATCGACATTTGCTCAACACCAAGCCTTCTGTAACTTTTTCCCCCTATTCTACTTCATAGATTCCACAGTAAAGCCATGCTTTTACAATCTCTTGCCGTTCAGACAGAAGATTATCTTTTCTTTAGATGGTAGACTATTCGTGAAAGAATGCACCTTGACTTGAGATATGTTTCTTAAGTAGACTTGGATTTGACTATTTGTTACTTTAGATTGTGCCACAATGAATCACTACTGTATTGGTCACACCACTGTGGTCAATAATAATAATAATAATAATAATAATAATGATAATAATAATAATAATAATAATAATAATAATAATAATAATAATAATAATAATAATAATAATAATAACAATAATAATAATAATAATAATAATAATAATAATAATAATAATAATAATAATAATAACAATAATATATGTTCTCAAATGCCCTTGAAGCCATTGATGAATTCAGCTGTATAATTGTGGTCGTTAAAATTGGTTTATTTGCTTTGTTTTGTTTGGGTTTTTCGGGGGGGGTGGTTTGTTTGTTTGTTGTTGTTGTTGTTTATTTAAAGTTATTTCATACATTTGTCGTTGGTCTTTTTTTAAGGAGGAGGGGAAAGAACGCATATAAATTATTGTGTTAATGAGAGCATAAAAGATTCACAACTTTAAAAAAAACAACGACTATTAAACATGATCTGTTGAGTAATGATGTCCGTTCGTTCTCGTTCTGTGTCTAAATATAATTTGACGTACTACATAATACAGTCTGCGCTACATCATTTATCGTACGGATCTTACGGTTGTGTGTAGATTGGTTTCTATTGTGGATTAAACTCGCTTTAGAGCACAGAAAGATCACGTGGGAGGCGGGAGCTCCAGTGAAATGTTCGTATAACTCACAAGACAATAGCTTGAATGCATTGATACGTAAATAACATTAAATACATATAATAAAAACATCCATGTTAATTAATCTACAATATCCCACTCTGGCGTTGACCAGATGACAAGGACATGTGGTTACTTGAGGGAGGCATTGCGCTGCCAAGAGCGAAATACTCGCAGCTAAAGGGATTTGAAAACAACAAAAAACAACAACAACAACAATATCCCACTAACACAGACAGTAAGTACACATGCTATTGGCTAATCGCAACCTTAGAGTTACAAAGTTCTATCTGACATTTTTGGTCGTTTTGAGTTATCAAAGTCATGATCGAGGTCAGAAACCAAATGTTCTATCTGCTCTATGAAAGCCGTAAAATTACTCGAATTCGTTATCAAGATATTCAACGAATTGCATTCGAAAAAACTTAACATGTATTGAAACTCCAAATTTTGTACGTCATATTTCTCATAACTAGGGGCTGAGCAGAAAGAACTGTGTAATTCTTGGGTAGCGTAATAGCCTCGATGCAGTGGCCTGTGTTTGGGGGCTTGGACTGTCGTGTTTTCCTATAAGACACGCCCAAGGAACCACCTACCTCAACACCGTGTCACCTACGTACGCTTGACGTTGGTGTGAACCTGGACTCACTTACCACTTGGCCACTGAAGCCCCACAACCCCGCCTCCTTTCCCCTTTTTTCCAGATATGACCAATCCATAAGTCCCAAGAGGGCGAAGAGCTATTAAAACGTTTCACACTACCCTGATTCAGTACAATCGAATCAGAAGCAGCCACTGTGCAGTCCAGTTTGGAACAAAGTCGGCTGGTACCGAGCCTCGCTATAATAGCTTCGACAAAAATAAATTATGAAAACTCGAACGAGTGTCAAAAGGTCAATGAACTTTCATGACTTAATTGCCAACACGATATATTGGACATTGCTACTCTTCATTTGTGCGCAGATCACCAGGACGCGAGGAGAAAATACGGACTAAGCAATATATCGCGACATCATAAAGATAGAAACATTACGGTAATATTATGAGAACAAATCACCTCCACATCACTATGACTACTATTATAATATCGCTCAGAGAATTACAATACCAGTCATGGCGATATATCGCTACCGTAGAATTACAAAATTCTATCAGACATTTTTGTCAGTTTTTAGTTACTAAGACTAAGACTAAGACCATGAGGTCAGAAACCAAAATTATGTTCTATCTGGTCAAACAAAATCGTAAGATTATTCGGAGTCGTTTTCAAGATATTCAAAGAATTAATTGCATTCGAAAAAGCTTGAATGTTGTGAAACTCCAAAACATTTTACGTCAACCTTCTCAAAACTACATACTGAGCTGATAGAACTTTAAATTTAATTCATGGGTAGTGATATCATATCATGCCCTCTGTCGTTCCAGCAGTAAACACCCTACCAACTGCCCTTTTCCTTTCTGGTGTAGTTATATAATGAAATAAAATCTCTATTAAAAATAGGGTACATGTAACGTATGAATACCTCACAGGTAGAACAAAGAAAAAGTCTGAATACTTACAGAGGGTCGTCAATGCACTCATAGTAGAAACCTTTCTTCCTGATGTCGTGTTCAAGAACCATAAGGCTGCCCTCTCCGCAAGATTCTCTGACAATGACAAAGAATTTCGTGTAACAGGATGGTTTTAGCCTCTTTCAATCAAAAAGCTTGCTGCTCAGAAAGTGAAGATGGTTTATTGCATGTTACTCCGCCCCCGACGCTCTTCTCAAAGAAACGCACACGCACGCACGCACGCACACACACATACACACAAACACACACACACACACACACACACACACACACACACACACACACACCTGTAAATAATCACACACATACACACACACACACACACACACACACACACACACACACACACACACACACACACACACACACACACACACTAAATGAAAGAAAAAAAGACAGACAGACATAAAGTTTTTTGGAAAGAAAGAAAGACAGAAAGACAGAAAGAAAGACAGACAGACAGACAGACAGACAGACAGACAGACAGACAGACAGACAGAAAAGGCAAAGAAAGAAAGAAAGAAAGAAAGAAAGAAAGAAAGAAAGAAAGAAAGAAAGAAAGAAAGAAAGAAAGAAAGAAAGAAAGAAAGAAAGACGGAAAGACAGAAAGACAGAAAAACAGACAGAAAGAAAGATATACAGAAAGAAGGACCCCCTAAATAAACTCAAATAATATGAGACATCTATGTTTTGAGTAGCCTTTGCCTTGCTGTACAAAGACCGTCTTTCCCAAAAATGTTGAAGACAAGCAAACGAGTATGCTGGTACGTACCCAGGGAGAGTCTTCAAAACTCATTTATTTGTATTTTGCCCGCGCCAACGCCAGATTTTAAACTCTGATGGACAAGTAGATTCTAATTTTCCACAGAAACAAAGCCTTGCCGGACGGACTCACACTCTACGACGTCTGTGCTGTAGCACAGATAGATATTTAACTGTAGCACGCAGTAGATCCGAGTTCAATTCCCGAGTGAGGCTAATTTTTATTACCTCGGTCTTTCTGCTGGGATGTTGCATCGCTCTCAGCCTTTATTGGCTCTCTCTGACAGGCAGACGGGGTCGGAAGCCCACCTCTAGATTAAATTATCTAAATTGCGTTGATGGGGGCGTAAAAAAACCTGCATTATTGACATGTTGACCCCTACGTGTTCTGGCGTCTGTAGCCTAGTGGTTAGGCTACCGGACTTGTAATCGTGAAGTTGCGGGTTCGGGTGTTCGAGCTGCGGGCCCGACGTTTTGTCCTTGGGAAAGGCACTTTACATACATGAATTTTCCTCACTTCACCCAGGTGGGAATGGGTACCCAGCTATAGACAGAGAAATGTCTTGTCAGTTTGTTAGTGTTTGAGCGCTTAACCAGCTGCTTGCACTGCATGCTTCCCGGGAAGCTGAGAATGTTTCGGAGTGTTCTATGGTCTGCTGGGGTAATAATATAGTGTAAAGAGCATAGAGCTTACTGATCTGCGGGGATATGCGCTATACAAATGCTATCTATTATTATTATTATTATTAAAGCGCATAGAGCTTGCTTTCGAGTGGGGAAAAGCGCTATACAAATGCTATTTATTATTATTACTTACAAGTGAGGCTCTTCCAGCTGATGAATGACGTAGACAGTCACTTTGGTCACGTTCTTTGTCATGTAAGGAAGCTGGTACTTCCCGAAGAAACTGGGGAGAAAAAAACAAACGGGATTTCAGTCTATCGATGTTGTTGAAGGGACCAGAAGCAGGGAGGAGGGGAGGGGAGGAGGAGGAGAGAGGAGGGGAAAGATCAGGGGTGTGGCAGAAAGACAGCAGTAAGGAGGAGCCAAGGAGAAAGGTAATATTGTAAACTTGGAGACATAGAAAGACCGAAAATAATAT